TGGCATATGTTGTGTCTTTTTTACTATATTTAAGAAAAGGAATTTAGGCAATAATGAATACCATCATCAGCCAGAAGCTATTTATTGAACTCTGGAATGAGAGCTCCATGCTGGCCATGGGCACAGAGAACGGGCAGGGTACCACTGAACAAGGGTGAGGAAACTAAGGAACAGAAGTCATCACTGCTCTTAGGGATTTAACGATCTAACTGGAGGGGAATTATATCCAGGGCAAGCAGAGTATGCAGATTTCCTTTTGGTGTACATTAAGTTAATTATCCATTTTTACTAGACCCCATTACTCACAAGATAGTATTGTGTTGGTCTTTTCAAACTCATACACAAACCTACCCAGGCAGTCTTCTTTCCCGTATGAAGCTGGGCTGTTTACCTTGATAACACACCTTTAGTTTGTTGAATTTCCAGGTCATTTATGCAAGGCTTTGTTGAGAGGCTGCTACACCTGCCCGCATTCCAGCTGCCTGAATTTTAATTATGAACACCTCCTTGGCAGCCCCTGCTTCACTGGGCTCTGGGGCTTCTGGCTTACTTTATTGCTCCATATAGATAAAGATATCCGGAGTCAGTCTGTGAAAAGGAAGGCGAGGAGAATAATGGTAGATGCTGTCTTTGTCTGGAATGATGGCCTTCCTGCCACAACCATTAAAACGTTCTCTTTGGTGATGCACATGAGAATTTAGGCAGTGCGAGTGAGGGCAGAGCCAGTGCTGCTGTTCTGGTTGCACTTTTATTCTTGGAATTCATTGTCTATGGTCCCTTCTTACCTTCCCTTCTCCCTATCTCCCTATCCCCAAGCTAGCTCCCTCAAGTGGTCCCATTAATGCATTTTTCTCTCTCTCCTGCAGGGGAGCTGCTGAGTCAGCCCAGACCAGAAGGAGTGGCAGAGATCATTTGCCCCAAGAATGGCAGTGAGCGAGTGAACGTTGCCTTGGTTTACCCACCTACACCGACTGTGATCAGCCCCTGTTCCAAGTGAGTTCTGAACGGGGCAGCTCCTGTCTCTCACTCCCGATCCTGCCTCAGCAGTTGTGATAACAAAAAGCCAGTTAAAGTACATCTCAACACACCTTGAAAAGCAGCCAAGGCAGACTCTGTTATCTGGGTGACATTAACACCATGGCTTATGTAGCAAACCATTTTTTCTCGTGTGTGATTCTTTTAAACTTTTACTGAGAAAAAGTAAGAGCATTTTTAACAGCTTTATTGAGATGTCATTTACATACCATACAGTTCACTCATTAAAAGTATATGTCATTGGTTTCTAGTATATTTTAAGATAGATATATGCAACCAAAAAGAACTCTTTTTTTTTTTTTTTTTTAGTAGAAAGTCATTCTGTCACTGCAGAATTAATTAGGCTCTTTTTTCTTTGGATCTCTGGTTCTCTATCAGTGCTTGATAATCAGGGGCTTTGCTGTTTGTTCCCACCTTCCCTAAAATGTACTTAAAGACAAAGAATGTACAAGTGTGAACTAACTTTTGGGTACAAAGTTAGCTTAATATTACAGATAAAACAATTTTTTTTTTTTTTTTTAGTATTAAGAATCAAACAGTGAAAACACTTTTAAACAGAAGAAATACCTTCTTACTGTAAACCTTGAAAAGCCGCAGCCACAGGTCTTGGAGCAGATCTCGTATCTGGGTGCTTCAGCAACATGACTTACACAGCAAAGTGTTCATGCAGGAAACTTTCATTTTTCTTCCTAGCTGACAACAACAACAACAATTTTTTTTTTTTGCATCTAAGCTTCCTATAGGGAGGGTGGGGAGCTTGTATTTGAGAATGGCGACCTGCCATCTCATCTCAAGAAACTAGTTATGAGGCTGCATTTGAGAGAGCTGTGTGAGAGGAGCTCAGCTTCCGTCCCTGATGTGCTGGCTTTCCAGCCTTGGGCGTGCTTTCTGCAGAGCAGTGGGGGTGTGGTGGGGTGAGGGGGATGCTTCAGGGGCACTCTCATTTCTCAGCAGCTGCAGTAGAAGACTGCTTTCCCTTTTCTCCAAGCCAGGTGATTCATTAGACAGAACATCTCTAATCCCTCTTTGCTGGGAAATATCACTGAACACCCAGGGGAAACTCTTATCCAACGCTGTTATATTCAAAATGTTCTTTTAGCTAACTATGAATATACTATAATTCCTCACTAGTATGGCCCCAAGAAATTGTAAAATCTTGAAGTGCTTCTTAAATATTAAAGTAGAATTACAAAGTAACTTCATATTAACCAGAACATCCTCTGTCCTGAACATATCAAACAACAGAAATTTTACCGTCCTTTGAATTGTGTACATTAGTCTCTTTCTTTCAAATACTTGTAGGATGAGGATAAGGAGATATTATAAAAACAGCAGGATGTAGAACAGAGGGAAACAGTTGTTCCATGTACTTTGCATTAGTGTAGATTTTCCTGAGCCAGGAGAGATGTTAACCTATTGTTTTGCCATAGCCACGTGGCACTTAATAGGCAAGATAGAGATAGGGCTATAATATCCATTTGCACAAGAAACCACAGTGGCACAGAGCCAGCTTTATCAGTGTTTTCCCATGGGCTTCTTGTTGTACTGCCACGGAAAGATACTCCAACCTGAAAAAAATGCTATCGGCCCCTCTCTCTCTCACACACAGTTTATTATACCTAAATGAATAAGTCTTTAAAGTCTTAGTAATCAGAGCCACGCAGCCTCAGACATCTAGATGCTAGAGAGAATACCTTTAGGGATTGAACTGCTTTTGACCTAGCTATGTGAATAGTTTTGTTTTGAAATGGGTGGAAAAAAAGTCTCATGCAAGGGATAGCAGGTTTGGAGTGTTAAGTCTCTATTTTAAATGAAGGAATATCTATGAAAACAAACATCCAGGCCAGGCCCAGTGGGAGGTCTAATTTAGAAGTGGATGACCGTGTATTGGAACAGGAGATTTAGGGGACTGATGAAGAACGTGTCTTAGGAGGTGGTCATTGCATCAACGCAGCTTAGATCTCAGCCTGAGAGTGAGGCTTGGGGTCCCAGCAGGCACTAGATATTTGGGAGACTGGAGCTACTGCACTGGCTTTGCAGTTCTAGCCAAGTTAACTTAAGCAGGTCACTGTAGAGTGATCTTTTACTTCTCTGTCATCCTGTAAGATGCAGGTGGATGATCAAGATTGGGCTTTCTTAATCAAGCACGTGTATCAAGATTCCCATAGGGTGGGGCTGGGTATCAGTCTTTACAAAATAAGAATCACCCAGATGATTTTACGTATGTGCGCTGGACTTTCTGATCTTTCTGCTCTCTTTCATAGTTCCAGGGGTAGGCTCCCTGGCCAGTGGACCTTATCTTTGGCTATGGTCAGTAACCAACTGGCCGCACTGGGGCAAAACTAACCCATGCTGTATGGATCAACACAATCCGTTCCACCCTCATTTCACATTTATAGCTGAACATATGGTTTATTGTTCAGGTCAGGAAAGGATTGAGAGTGACAGGAGGGCTATTCGTAATTATTATGCCAGGACAATAGGCATCAACCAGCTATGTCCCAGGCATACCAGAATAATCACCCTATTCGTAGGTTATTGATTTATAGCTTATGGTGATTTTTAAAAAGACATTCCAAGGTCTTTATCCAGTTTACTCCTTTCCTTTATCAGTTAAATCAGAGACTTGTCACTTAACTACCTGATTTTGACCATAGATACAATAATGGTGATCAGAGTACTTTATAAAGAAAAACCATTGATGATGTTATTTGATTGGATGTTCCTTATGAATTCTAAGCTTTTCTATTTCTCATTTTAAAATTTTTCTAGGTGTTTTATTCCTCCGTGGGGAGACACAGAGAATAAAGAGTAGGTAGTCGTTTTTTTTTAAATATGATTTACTCTCATCACTTGTCTCGGTGGTTGGTGGCTGAGGTCTCTACCAGCATTCCATTAGGAAGAGGTTACATGTCCTGAATGAAACGCCTTTCCTGCACCTCACCCTCTAGGGAGAAACCTAGGGGCTGAGTGGCTTCTTGACCCTTTTGATTTGATCAGATTCTGTCAGATGTGAGTCATTTCTATGCTTTGGCTATCTTGGGCCGATTTTCAATGATATTTACATTTGAGATTAGACGAAAGTTCATCTAGCAGCAGATTCTACTGGGTTGCTGTGAAAAATTCTGACCTTTCTAAGGATATGATTCTATTTGATGCATTTTAAGAGCGTTTATTGAGGTATACTTTCATACCATAGAACTTCCCCATTCAGTGATTATTAATATATTTACAGGGTTGTGCAACCATCAATACAATCTAATTTTAGAACATTTTCATCATTCCAAAAAAAACTTCCTGCCATTTGCAGTCATTTGTGTCTAATACAACACCTAGTTCCCTGCAGTCAACATTTTTAGCGTCCCTTTCAGGAATAGTTTTGCTGCCTGGTGTGTTGGTATTAAACAGATTCATGAGTTTTAAAGAAATTCTTATGAACATGTTACCCCTAACTCAATTCAGTCAGAGGCAGTGGATTGACTTGCACCACCCACTGCTAATCCCTTGTTTACTGGACAATAGAGGGGAAGTGGAACTGCTTGGAGGAAGGTCAGCCTCCTTCAGAACTTCTTTTTTCTTAGTATAGGTAGCAATTTTTAAAAACACAGACTTTGTTTTTTAGAGCAGTTTAGCTTCACAACAAAATCTAGCAGAAGGTACAGAAAGATCCCATATACCCTTTGCCCCTACACACGCACAGCCACCCCCACTACCAACATCCCCGCCACCAACATCCCCACCAGAGGAGTACATTTGTCACAGTTGATGAACCTATGCTGACACATCATAATCGCCAAAGTCCGTAGTTTACATTAGGTCTTACTTTTGGTGTTGTACATTCTGTGGGTTTGGACAAATGGATAATGACATATACATATTACTATACTATGTTTTCATTTCCCTGAAAATCCTCTGTGTTTCCTCTATTTATCCCTTTCTCCCCGTTAACCACCGGGCCTTTTTTTTTTTTTTTTAGTTTGGTTGAGGTGTAATTGACAAATAAAATTGTAAGATGTTTAAAGTGTACATCATAGTTATTTGATATATGTATACCTTGTGAAAGAATTTATACCACCTAGTTAATTCACACATCCATCATCTCATATATTTATCCTTCAGAACTCCTGAATGGCAGCCTAACTAGCCCCTAAAGGGATGCTGACTCTTAGACATTAGGAGTCTGAAAGGACAAAAATATACTTTCAATGGGAAAAGTAAGCAGAAAGTGGGATAATTTTTAAATTTTATTAATTTTTTTAAATTTGTGAAGTCCTGTCTCCATCCTGTTGCTCTGCAGGTTGCAACCCTTAAAATTCCAATTCAGAAGGGAAGCGAGAACTTCTTTGGATTTGCATTTCATTTTTGCGTGCCTATATAATGTTTTTCTTTCTCTTTTCTAAAGAGGTTTAGACCAAACCTACTTTTGCCAATTAAAGTGTATATTCTGATAAACTGCCAGATAACCCAATTTATCTACTGATTTTTCACTTAAAAGAGAGAATATGAAAATGTTTTACCTTAAGGCATACTGGAAGGCAACCCATGTTCTTCCAAGTGGTTTTTTAATGGACTGAACATACAGGAAGTGGGAATATATCATTTTTACTTCCTAATAGTTGCCATTTCCCTCGTGGTAGTACCATGTTGTCTGCATTCCATCATAGGCGGAGCGGTGGGACTGAAAAAAAGGAACTTAATTCTGATCGTGACAGGTCATGTGTTAGAGAATTAGAAGAAAATGGGCTGTTTTGAACATTGTTGGGCTATGCTTTCTCCTTTTCCAGAAAGTGCTACTACTACTAAAAGGCAAGGCTGAGACACTGTGTTTCAAAACTACCTTTTAAGCTTGGGTTATTGTGTATATACTGTAGTGTTCCCATTCAAGGAAGATCCCAGTAAAATTTCAGTTACGTACTATATTATAAGTATTCTCAAAAATATAGTGATTACTTTGCATA